CCTGGCTCTAGTGTGTGACCTGCCATTGAGGCTGAGCTGACTCTAGTGTGTGACCTGCCATTGAGGCTGACCTGGCTCTAGTGTGTGACCTGCCATTGAGGCTGTCCTGGCTCTAGTGTGTGACCTGCCATTAAGGCTGAGCTGACTCTAGTGTGTGACCTGCCATTGAGGCTGACCTGATTCTAGTGTGTGACCTGCCATTGAGGCTGAGCTGACTCTAGTGTGTGACCTGCCATTGAGGCTGACCTGGCTCTAGTGTGTGACCTGCCATTGAGGCTGACCTGACTCTAGTGTGTGACCTTCCATTGAGGCTGACCTGGCTCTAGTGTGTGACCTGCCATTGAGGCTGATCTGACTCTAGTGTGTGACCTGCCATTGAGGCTGACCTGGCTCTAGTGTGTGACCTTCCATTGAGGCTGACCTGACTCTAGTGTGTGACCTTCCATTGAGGCTGACCTGGCTCTAGTGTGTGAACTGGCTCTGACCTGTCTCTAGTGTGTGACCTGGCTCTGACCTGGCTCTAGTGTGTGACCTGGCTCCAGTGTGTGACCTTCCATTGAGGCTGACCTGGCTCTAGTGTGTGACCTGGCTCTGACCTGTCTCTAGTGTGTGACCTGGCTCTGACCTGACCCTAGTGTGTCATCCTGCCGTCGTATGTCATCGTGACGAGGTACTGAGGCCGTTGTTTGTATCATTAATCATCTGGCATCCCTGTCGCCGTGGCTGTTGTAACTCACCTACTTTGTTATTTATAAACCGGCGATGGCACACACGTATCCGCTTCACATGTGTATGTTTGGACAGAAAATTGCGTCAAGTTACTTCATTCATACAGGGAGTAGCCAGTGACGCTCTTTGACGGGAAGTTTAGACAATCCACCTTGAACCTATACACATCCTTGAAAAGTATCATTTGTTGAATTGAAATCGCTGACAATGTTTGCAGTTGTATGGAGACAAAGGGAGTATGTATGTATGACAGTATCTGTACACCAAGTTGCCGGTGAGACGCTTCATGTCATGTAAGTGTTGTTTACCATATGTCCGTTCCCCTGTTCGCCACATCCTTTGTTTCCCAGGGCAGGATAACCATGCATGCATCGCTGCAACATAACGGGTATTGCTTTACGCCGTTCGGGCAATATTTCATAAATACCACAAGGGATGGGCCTCAGTGATATCATTGTGTGTATTATATTGTAGCACAGGAAATGAAGGCGGATGTGACATGAACAGGGAAGACATACACCCAGTCTACAGAGCCAAATACAACCACGGCGAACTCAGACAATAAATACAGAAATACCTTCCTGAATAAAACGGTCGATAGCAATAAATACGTAATATTTTCTATTTTGACGTAAACAGATTCTTCTTTCAGATATTGCAGATAAAACACAAATTATTACTTTCCTTCAGTATAACATTTAGGGGCGGTGTGGTAGCCTAGTGGTTAAAGCGTTTCTCTCGTCACGCCGAAGACCCGGGTTCGAATCCCCACATGGATAAAATGTTTGAAGCCCATTCCTGGTGTCCCCGCCGTGATGTTGCTGGAATATTGCTAAAAGCGGCGTAAAACCAAACTCAGTCAGTCAGTCAGTCAGTCAGTATAACATTTACCTTTACCTAGCTATGTGAGCTATGTTTTGTTTACACAAACAGTTAATTATTCAATCACATCTGTCCCGAAGGAACTGAGTGTAAGTACGATGACCACAGCAGGGTAACCACGGCTCAGGCAGAGTAGCCTCTTCTAGCGTACCCCGATTTCTATAAATTCCAGTTTGGATTATTTCTTATATCTTGGACAGGGCCCTTTCATGGATTTTCCCACTCAATCTCAAGCCCTAGTACAACGCTGTTGTAATTCCAAATGGTATTCCTCAGCACAACGCTTGTTTCACTGCAAAGATAACACCATTGGTATTCTAGTAACGCTATTCTTTATAACGCTATATTGTGTGCAATTCCCAACGGCATACTTGACCATAGCGCAAGAAAGATAGATATTAGTGACCTAATTTCACTGTAAAGTGAAAACGCGTAAGGCTCGTGAGAGTTACAACTCCCCTCAGTCCATGTTAGTCCATCAGAGCTACAACTACCATCAGCCCATCAGAGCTACAACTGCCCGTAGTTCATGTTAGGCTATTAGAGCTACAATTCCTCTCAGTCCATGTTAGGCTATTAGAGCTACAACTTCTCTCAGTTCATCTCAGTTCATGTTAGGCTATTAGAGCTACAACTCCTCTCAGTTCATGTCAGGCTATTAGAGCTACAACTCCTCTCAGTCCATGTTAGGCTATTAGAGCTACAACTTCTCTCAGTCCATGTTAGGCTATTAGAGCTACAACTCCTCTCAGTTCATGTTAGGCCATCAGAGCTACAACTCCTCTCAGTTCATGTTAGGCTATTAGAGCTACAACTCCTCTCAGTTCATGTCAGGCTACTAGAGCTCCTCTCAGTCCATGTTAGGCTATTAGAGCTACAACTCCTCTCAGTCCATGTTAGGCTACAACTCCTCTCAGTTGTTAGAGCTACAACTTCTCCTTCATGTCAGGCCCTCAGTCCTCCTCTCATGTTAGGCTATGAGAGCTAGGCATTACTCAACTCCTCTCAGATCCATGTTAGGCTATTAGAGCTACAACTCCTCTCAGTTCATGTCAGGCTATTAGAGCTACAACTCCTCTCAGTCCATGTTAGGCTATCGACTATCGACAGCTACAGTAGTTGGCCATACAAACCGAAACATGAGTCTCATTAACCTATTCAGACAATGACCTACTTTTCAGCCGATCCGAATTTGCTCGTGTGAAAGTGAAAAGAGACTCCACAAACAACTGTGGTTACACTGAATTCCAATTCCTTGTTTCATAAGAAAATGGTATGTACAAGTTAATTTTAATTTTAAACTTTAATAACATCGTATTTTTATATTTTATGGCGAGGTGTAGGCAGCATGGCCTTAACAGACTGCCCCTGTTTGATGAGGTCGTAAAATGATTCACAATTCATCTGGCTCACTGGTTACACCTGTTATGAGTTTTTTGCGCTTATTCAATGTAGTTTTATAACGTACAATGTGATTGATATAATATTAAGTCCGTACCGTACCAATCTTTTCTAGCGGCAGAGCCTCGTTTTGAGATTTCCACGATTTCCAGATTTCCGTTTGTCAGAGCACGGTGTACGACCATGCCCGCTGCACGACGTGTTTGCAAGGTTTAGAAGGAGCGTAGTGTTGCAATATACAAGTGCTTAGATGTATCAAATAATACTGATTCATATTTATGTATCCATTTGAATGAATTGGTATCAAAGTTCTGGACTAGTTATTGTACTAATATGCTCAATAGGACGGAACCCAGTCAGCAGGAAACGAGACTGTTGTGTACTCAATGTTTTGACTTGAGTGAGTCATCATTTGTGAAATTTCCATAGACTTACATGTTAATTAACTGTTTTTCATAAATTGAGTAGAAGTCATATTATTTTGATATTTTGCAAACATCTTGGATATCATCTTCAGCTACGTGTACATAATTTTCTTTCATCTTTCCGTTGATTAGTTATCGAATGACACATGATTAAGCACCATAAGTACAACATAACTTTAATCTAGACAGCCATGTTAAACCTGACTGGTATGTCAAATATATGTTGTTTAAATAGTTATAAATCCTCGGAAAATTGAATGAAACTATGGGTATGTAGCTGAGATGATATCCCAGCTGGTAAATAAGTATTGAAAGCAATAACACCAAAACTAAATTTATGAAAATTATTCTTGCAAGAGTTAATTAACATGCAAGTCGATGGGAATTTCACTAATGAAGACTCACTTATGGCCAACTACTGAATATCCAAACGGTGTCAGAAATACGTAAAATCGTTTCTGCAGATCCTTCTACAGGTTGGGGAAGAAGGCGGCGCCTTTAAGTCACATCCTTCTACAGGTTGTGTACTCGATGCGAGTGTAGATACAAGATGCATTGGGATCTGGGTCACTCGGTTACCTGCTGGTTGCGTGGACCCTTTCACCGCCTGTGTCTAAAAGTAATTATGTGTTAGCCTGTATCTTAAAGTAATTATGTGTTAGACACAACAAAATAAATGGTGGTGAATGATCTGGTGTTCAAGGTGTACTGGTCACGTCCATTATCTGGTGTTCAAGGTGTACTGGTCACGTCCATCCTATGGTGTTTTAAAACTGAGGCGGCGGGTACATTTAGGTCAGAGGTCACCTCGCCTGGGCGCCCACACACCCTGACAGTGACATAAACTAGCAGCAAAGCGCATGCGCGTGCTTCCGCATTCCCCTCTTGTTACGTCACATATTCATTCATGTCGACATCGCAAGTCCCGAACGAGTACACTTGACAGCCTGCTGGTTCCAGGTGTGTTGACCCCTAGATGTTAGTTGATGGACATTGACAGACCTATAGAACCAGCAAGGTAATGTCTGTACGATCTCTGCTCAACAAACGTGATATGTCTTATCGCAGCCAATTTCAGAGCTATAAAATCCCTCAAGAAATAATATATGTATCTTTCTGAATAATTCCTTAAATAACACCAACAATGGCCAACTGTTGGTAGTTATGGACAGAGGAAGCATCTGTCAAAATCAGACTCCCTTCATGAGGAAACATGTTTAGTCACTGGAAGCCGTTGTACTGCGCTTGTGAAATTTCTCATTTGACATTTAAGCTGTACGTGACGAATCCACGTTCAGGGCTCATGCTATTTTGGGGAGCGTGAGGTCACGATACCCGGTGCATCACGGGTAGGACTGGGCCACATGTGGGCAAATTGCTCAAAGGCTAACAATAGAAACCTAGATTTCCCACATTTACACTGTTCAGTTTCAGAAAACCTTTCCGTTACTTTTCCTTCTATTCTTAGCCACACATCAAGGGTGATTATGAAAATAGTTTACACGAATAAGTTAAAATTTAGCATCAATGCATATTGCACGTAAACTCGATAACGACTGTAGGTTGTAAAAATACAGGCATTTAATGTATCAGGTAAAAATACATGAATACAAATGGCATGATATCAAATAATTATGAAACATAATTTTCTTTAAAAAGAAAATGCATACGTCAGAGAAGAGGTTTAGTTTGTTATGTACAGGACAACATCCAGTGGTGTTGTGTAGGATTTCACATTGGACATTTCTCATTGGACGTATTAGCAGGTGTTCTGGGTGAAGTGGACTGTCAATCTTGTCATGGCTTCTAATAACATTTCATAATAGATACACAACACAATATAAATGCAAGATTCTATGGCATAAACTTTTCCCGTTATATCGGTTCTATAAACAACATCAGGAAACTCATATACATAACAGAATATTCAGATGAAACCCCTCATTATTTCATTTAAAGCATTTAGCGTGTCTTTGGCTGCAACGATTCATATTTGGTTCTAGAGTCTGCATCGGACAACTATAAATCGAACATGCATAATTTTATCCCAAACATCAGTAGTTTCGAAATATGGTTTGTCTTGAAGAGAAATGGAAACTCTTACTGCAGTATGACTAGGCTGTGTCGAACAATGAAACCTGTTGAAAAATATGTATCGAACCATTGTTGAAATAATGAAATGGAATGGACAGATAACAAAGACTTTATCCAGAGTTTAGAACAGTTCAAGGAATTCTAAACTCTTTGAAGATCCTCACATATAATTTGGTACTTGAAGCAGTTGACTTTGAGTGTCATATTGGACGACACTGGAATACACAGTTTTCATACACGTTTCATCAAGTTCACAATGGGCACAACATGTCTCGGCACCAAGTTTCACATGCAAATGCATTTTTGTTCAAAGTGATTGATAAATGAGAAACATTATATGTTAAACAATAAATAATAACATTTATGTACAATGACAAATGAGTAAAAATAAGTTAAAGCGTCCTCACAAAAATATTCTTGTATAAATAATGCGTCATCTCTCGTACGACATACGCGCATAAGCACACACACGCGCGGACTTATTCTCAATATTGACACCAGGATGTGCACACACCCATACACACAAACCCACGCTGAAATTATATGCACGCACACGCATTCATGCATACCCTAGACAAGCCATTCTAATAATTATGTTCAAATAGCAGTTTAAATTTGACGTGAACATTCAGAACCAGTGACGGAGCCCCGGGGCTGGACGCCTCCACAGCAAACACACATTATATCGCTCCAGGACGTTGATCTCAGAGTCAAGCAGCATAGATGCCCCCATCCATATGTAAGAGAGGATGTCATCAAATGTATCTCACAAGTCGACACCATCTGTGGCAACAACCAGTTCCTACTTCGTTTAACCGTCTACATCATGTAAAAATGTCTTGCCATGTTCCCAGGACAATTTTCGATTTTTTCGAGTAGAATATAGACTTGGCTTTTTTACCACACCTGACTCGGGATCTGTTTTTGGAAACGGTAACCTTACACCTCCTCAACATCTTCGCCATCCGTTTGACGCCTCGTTCTATGTCCCGCAGGACGATATACCCATAACCGCTTTCCTTTGTCACATCTACTGGCTCCAGTGGAAAGTCGATTGTTTGCTCTCGATGGCAGAGTTCTCTTGGTTTTCTGACACGGATATTCAGGACGTATAGGGTTCCGTAGAGGTCGTTGGAGAGAGCCTCCAGCTCTTTGGTAAACCTTTCTGCAATGAGGTTCATCTGATACAGTTCATGAGCAGCTTTCTGCATCGACGTCAGCCACCACGCCGCCTCGAACAGTGGCTGTACCTGTTAACAACAATTGTAGTCTTGTATCGTCAGTTGACACTTTCCGATAATGATTTACATGTAACTTATTTGAATACCATATTCTTTTAAATTCGAATCTACATTTTCTACTAAGGTATTCTATTTCAAGATTGGTGATAAAGTATGCATAATTACGACGATGCTTCTTAAATATGCACTTGTGACCGTTACCACCAGTTACGAGTGAGTGAGTACTCGCTTTCATCGGCAACATTCTAGCCAAACAGAGTGGCGGAAGCCAACAGCATGACACAATGGAAGGTACCATTTACATACCCTTTTGTTTTTCGGTATTCGAAGACGTTTTCCTTGCCTTGGATGAAGATCTCTGATGCCTTTATTGCGATATTCCCTCACCAGGCTGCGTGGAATGTCCCAAGCCTTTTGCTGAAGTGATACAATATACAACTAGTACAATGGCGGTGACTGAGGTAGGTTTGACGTTCTAACCTCACTGAATAATGAAGTAGCTATGTCAGGTGGTATCAGCTTCAATTACGAAGACAACTCAAAGTGATCCCGTTCGAAGGCGCTTACAGCTTTGGAGAAATCACGGGCAGGGTACTAAACCAAGGAACATAGCCGTGGATTTGAACGTAGCTAGAGTTTTCAACAGCAATGCCCACTGAGCTACTCAGACCTCTCACCCACCGCCTGCACATGTACACACACATACACACACATTCACCATGCACAGAAACACTAACAGCAAACCAAGCACTCTACACACACACACACACACACACACTAAACCCACCCCAAGCCTCCACACAAACACTAACCCCATCCCCAGCCATGGACACACACACAAAGACCACCCCAAGCCATCCACACACACACATACTAAAAACACCCCGAGGCCTCCACACACATGCACGCTAGCAAGCACACGCACACGCACACGCACACACACACGCACGCACGCACACACACACACACGCACACGCGCACGCACACACACACACACACACACACACACACACACACACACACACACACACACACACACTAACCCCACCCCCAAGCCATCCACACACATCCATCCATCTCAGAAACTTCTATTTACTCAACAAGGTGAAAGCAGCATTGACCGTACATACATTGATGAAGTGTGTAAGATATCACATTCACTTACTATTGCTTTTCTCTCTTTTTTAGCAGTTTTTGTGAAGTCTTTCAGTTTCCGTAGAAATTGTTGGTGAGCGGTAGACGCATCACGTTCAATGGGAGGTTGGTCACGACGAGGCTTTTGGATCAGATCGCACGTGTCAATAGGGCTATTCGGTTCCGACTGACCACAGACCGGGGCGTATAGGTATGCTAATACAGCTGAAACATAATGTATTGTATTGAACGTAAGAACTGTTGTAATACGTATCTCATCACCGAAGAGTACAAATAGTAGTGTAGTATGTGTAGTGTGTAGCTACCTTTGATGTCTTACCTGCTGCTATCACTGTATGCATAAGATTACAGACTTGATGAGCCATGGGGAGATTTTCACAGTTTGCGAGCGATCTAATCCCAGCACCCCTTTATAATCAGTACAGTTCGCGGTATTCCCATAACACGGAAGGTTACAAAATACCCATGTCTTGTGCCCAAACTGGGTTAACCAACATATTCATTAGTGATTACGGGAATTCGAAAAAAGTTATTTCGGTACATTATCCTGTAACGCTGTAGAATAGCATGTCGTGGAGTCTGCACAACTAACCATACTTCATGTATGTTTTCAACTTTCTGAAGGCTTGTGGCATTGTAAGACCTCGCCAACACAGACAATACAGATATCCTGAAAACATTACAAATGAGAAAATGTACCCTGATAACATAGACAATGGTTAATTCAATTAGCTCTTAACGTTTCTTAATTACCCAAGATAACATGATATTCAATAAATAACTGAATAACTGATCTTTCATGTTCTAGGAGCAGCTGTTCCTTGACTCTCCCACGTGATATTTATTGCCGAACGGAACACTTACTTTCCTGTTTAAGTCAGAATTGCAATATATATATGTTCCCGTGCCGGTGGTGCTAATACATTACTTTACTTCTGGGTGGAAATGAAATAACATTCTATATCAGCCAATCGTCCTGCGTAAACGTGTATAGTCACGTGATGACAGGGAGTAACGTCACATCAACATAGAAGCATGATCGCACACGCACTTACGCACACATCCATCCATATATACATTAATAGAATGGACTTTGTGGAATACAGAAGGGGAGGTTAATGAATGAAGCAGAATGAATGGGTGAGAACATCCTGCTAAAACTGAATGGACAAAAATTCAGGATGGGCATGTTCTTGTGTGCCAATAAAATCACATGCTTGGAAAATCCAGTGAATAGAGTGAAGGCACTAGCAGGGAAATACTGTGAACAAGGAATACACGAAAAGGAAAATACAGTGAATATTGAATACGCGAACATGAAAATACAGTGAATAGGGGAATATACAAACAGGAAAATACAGCGATTAGGAAATATGCGAAGGGGACAATACAGTGAATAGGGGAAGACACGAACAGGAAAATACAGTGAACAGGGGAAGATACGAAGAGGAAAATACAGTGAATAAGGGAAGACACGAAGAGGACAATACAGTGAATAGGGGAAGACACGAACAGGACAATACAGTGAATAGGGAAGACACGAAGAGGAAAATACAGTGAATAGGGGAAGACACGAAGAGGAAATTACAGTGAATAGGGGAAGACACGAAGAGGACAATACAGTGAATAGGGGAAGACACGAAGAGGAAAATACAGTGAATAGGGGACGACACGAAGAGGAAAATACAGTGATTAGGGGAGACACGAACAGGAAAACGAAGAGGACAGTGATTAGGAAATAGAAGCAACAGGAAATTACAGTGAATAGGGAGACAGGAAGAGGAAATTACAGTGAATAGGGAAGACACGAACAGAAAATACGGTGAATAGGGAAGACAGTGAATAGGGGAAATACGATCAGAGAACAATAGGAAAACAATACAGTGATTAGGAAATAGAAGAGAAGAGGAAAATGCAGTGAATAGGGGAATACACGAAGAGGACAATACAGTGAATAGGGGAAGACACGAACAGGAAAAAACAATGATGAGAGTGAATACACGAAGAGGAGAAGACAGTGATGAGAATGAAACTACGAAGAGGAAAATACAGTGAATTAAGGAAATACATGTACAGGAGTATTCAGTGAATAACAATCTGGTCGAATTCGTCACTACGTTGAAAGCCATGCCGTAATGTCATAGCTCTACCACACAGCACTACTCCTGACATACGACGGCGGCATTGAAATAAACAAGACAATCAAGTGACCTGGAAAATCCAGGTAGATAATGTGGAACTACGACTGCTGGGTGAAAGGACAGAGATTCTGATGCTTATAAGCAAAGGAACACGTTTGGGAAATAGATTTGTTTTACAACACATTAGGGGTAAGTTGTTATAGCTCATGTGAAACATTTCTGTTTTACTTGACTCGGCCTTCTCAAATATACTACTGAGCTTATAATGGCTCTCAGGGGCTTCAATCCACCAGCAAAAACATTCAAAACCCAGTTGAATGAAACCTAGAAAGTCAGTTCTGAAGAATATACAGTCATGTTAATAAATCAGAAACAAATAAAAACAAACCAAACAAATAAAGGGGGAAATAGCGGGAAAAGTTATGTGAACGGATCTCTGAAAATAAAAAACAAAAAACATTACACAATGTGTCGTGAATAACAATGTACAGAAATAAGCAATCAGGAAGGAAAGCGTTAATGAACCAGGTTTAGTTACGGAAATCAAAGTTGTGTGCTTATTTGATCGAACTGAAAAACAACAACTTTCCCAATGTATGAACATAAACAGTATTATCATTGAGGATGACAAGTCGCGAAGCACGTCAGCCTAACCCTATCAATTCGAACTTTACCATTCTCAGGGACATAGGGAATGTCAGGATTAAGGGCCGGCCTCTTCACATGCAAGCAGAAGACAAGCGATCAAACTGTTCTATCAAAGGTTTTACAATCGACAAAGCAGGATACTCTCGCATTCTCTCAAACACATGGTGCTATCATTATTTGATAGTGAATAAAAACACATGCTGATGATAAATTCTGACTCGTGCAGTGGACTTTGCTCTTAGGAGAGTTTTATAAAAAATGTTTTATATCACTTGGACTTCTGAGGGTATTTGTCGCGGCCAATAGGCCGGATGTGAGAGCATTTCCTACACATCTAGTGTAGAGATATGTGACCAGCTGAAACCAGCGTGGAGGTGTATATGGGATGTTTATGGGAGACCACCCTCTTCCACCCACCACCCACCCGAAAGTACTCCACACTGTGTTCTTTCTGCTATACCCTCAATATACATGGTACTGGATGACGACGATGTAGGCATCACAATAAAAGTTATGATCATGTTTGGTTTTACTGTTACTGTTTAACGAAGGTGGCATTTGAATCGCCCATATTACCGGGATTTCGAAGTATTTTATAATTTACATGGAATATAATTTTTAACAGAGGTGGTATTTGAGGTAGTCAATATTGCCGGGATTGCGATGCATTTTTTAAAATTTACATGGAAAATAACATTTAACTGAGGTAGTCAATCTAACCGGGATTTCAAATGCATTTTTAATTTACATGGACTATAGCATTTAACTGAGGTAGTCAATATTACTGTGATTTCGATGCATTTTTTAATTTACATGGAATATAACATTTAACTGAGGTAGTTAATCTTACCGGGATTTCGATGCATTTTCTTAATTTACATGGAATGATAGCATTTAACTGAGGTAGTCAATATTACTATGATTTCGATGCATTTTTTAATTTACATGGAATATAACTTTTAACTGCATGAGGTAGTCAATCTTACCGGGATTTCGATGTATTTTTTAATTTACATGGAATATAACGTTTAACTGAGGAGGTAGTAAATTTTACCGGATTTTCGATGTATTTTTTAATGTACATGGAATATAACTTTTAACTGAGGTAGTCAATCTTACCGAGATTTCAAATGTATATTTTAATTTACATGGAATATAACATTAAACTGAGGTAGTCAATCTTACCGGGATTTCGATGCATTTTCTTAATTTAAGTGGAATATAACGTTTAACTAAGGTAGTCAATCTTACCTGGATTCCGATGCATTTTTTAATTTAAATGGAATTTTGCATTCAACTGAGGTAGTCAATATTACTGGGATTTCGATGCATATTTTAATTTACATGGAATATAACATTTAACTGAGGTAGTCAATCTTACCGGGATTTCGATGTATTTTTTAATTTACGTGGAATATAACGTGTAACTGAAGTGGTATATGAGTTCGTTCATATTACCGGGATTTCGATGTATTTTCTAATTTATATAGGTGAGATCTATTGTATAAGGCCTTTCATCAAGTGTAACGGTGAATAGTGTTGAAGAGAATATATATGACTTGCAGATGAACAATAACGAGGGGTTAGAAAGGTAACTTTACTAAACAATTTAGCAGCTACCATGAAATTCAAAGATATCACTGCGAGTATGGAGAACACAATCCCACTAAATGCATTTCACACGTAAAGTATTGATAGCTGATTATAGAAGACAACACTAGGTACTGCCAAACTGATAACTGTTAGATTTTACAAACTCAGGGTGTGATGATCACGAGAACCTGTACAACAATAAGGTACGCCTATATATACATTCTGAAGAAGATGCAGATTGAATTGTACCATAGTTTGGAATTTGTCAGATAAATAATTTTTTAAACACATTTTAGAAATGTCTCCCATTTGCTTATTAATTGTAAACGACGCAACTGAAATGCATTCACCTGTTGTAGTAAACGAGAGAGATAAATACAAGTTTAAATGCATAAATTGTTATATTGATTGGCGAATAAACATTGTTAGCGGACGATAGAATACTAAGATTATACAACAAATATGTTACTATAATGGATAAATCCCCACACGTCGTGATTTCAAATATACATAACATGCGCCTAATCCTACTGCAACGATGATATTATGTTAAAATTTACAATATTTTTGTTTTGTTTTTCCAATATTCTTTGAACATATTAACATGAACTGTTAGTGTGTATAAGGTTCCATAAACCTAAACAAGTTCAAAATCCAACAATTGTTAACTTAAAATGACTTTGTCAATTTTTTTGCATTTTAAGTTGATTAAATTGTTCAATAAAGATTATAACCACCAGTTATCGGCGTTAACTATGTAAATCCATATGATTTTTAGGAATTCTGGTTAATTTGTCTCAGCTATCGCTGGACACTTCGAAAAACAAACTGTTAAAATTTCAAACAGTTTAGTCACACTACTTACGCATATTTAGATATTTAGTAGATTTAAGTACTGCGTGAACATCCACACACTATTGCAAAAATCATTTGGAAAACTATGTTTCTACTCAAATCATATGCGGATATTATACATAAGCATACGTGCACCCAACTGTTCCAGATTTTAGCGACAACACCGTTCTGAGTTCACGATTGCCACATCTGACGTCCTGCAAGATTTAATGCAGCCCGGAAGAGAATCATTGATCAGTTATTTGCTCTGTTCAAGATGTGTCCAGTTAGTAAATACTGCCTGCCCATCACAGAAGAAAAATAGTGTAATGGTTATACTCAGTGTAATGACAACTAGCATGTTTTATTTCAAGTGACAAAATATGTTTTTAAAAATCGTTGTGTTTTGGTTTCAAGATGACTCCAACATATTGTAATTAGTCACAAGGAAGATGAATATATTCATCTACAAATCTAATATGAGCATACATGTATTATATTTCTGAATTATAAATTATCTAAGGTGAACAAAATTACATGGTGTATCCACACCATATCTTATATTCTAAACAGAGCCTGCATATATGTTTTGTAAATTTAAAAATCCCAATTCAGATAATTAAAAACATCTTGGCGGCAGAAATTCTGTAAAAATATACACATACAAATCATTGTATCAAACTAGAAATGTAAAACAATTTGTATTAATTTGAAATAATTGTTTAAAACATTAAATATTACATATAATTCATACACACATGCATAAAAAGTACATTTCAAATGTTGAATATTATTATCCACACTAGAATGTGTATCTACTGCATGTTAAAATAAAACCCCTCTATAAATACAACACTTAGCTACGTTATTTGGGAAAGTGTACATGAATGTGTACAGCGATGACAGCCTACTACGAATGTAGGGGCAGTATGTGAGAGGAGAGTAAAGCAATACCCAGATTAAAATGACTATGCACTGCCAACCGGTGACACATTCTGTGATACTCCAATTATCAGCTGATAAACATTCTCGGAAATTTCGCTGGTCACAGGAGGAGGGTCTGTTCCACCGAAAACTTCCTTTCTGTTTCACAAGCACTGCCACCTAGCGGGCAGTTGCAGTACTAGATATGCAATTTAAATAAGCAGGCAATGAAGCAAAACCTTGAGGAAATATCACGCCACGAGAATTTCCTCCTTAAAACATCAAACGGAAAGTACGTTTATAGACGAGCCATGCTTGTATCCAGTAGTACTGACGGTCAGATACATTGCACAGTATAGTTCCATAATACAGCGTCAATTTTCAATTAGTTTCAGGATTTTTAATTGACCTATTATTTCAGGAATGTTTTCAGTGAACATGTAGAACCTGTTGTTTACCACCCGCTTTATGTGGCCTTATAACTTAATACATTATATATCACTGGCAAGTTCATAAAAATACATTTAGTTGATGTTTCGGAAGTAATTGTAATTATTGTAGAACATAACACTTGTCTAAAGGTATCCTCTTGAATTAATTCTTTGTGTGCAACTTTCCGAAACTACAATTGGAAGACATTCTGTAAGCAACCTGTGCATATTTAATAGTTTTCTAAATGGCAATACAAGTATATGGGACTGGTATTGGTGAAGGTAGAATAATACGGTATTGAATCAATAACTTTATGAAAAGATAGTTGAACTACTTACCTGTCGATGGGGTAACATTTTGTTGTGTTCACGCTGTCCTAGCTTGGAACTGTCCACCCAGTCGCTTCTCATGAAATGAGCTCACGCCATTTCCGTGAAATTGGCAGTTGACTACAGGGGTATACTGGTGTACATATGGGGGAGATGTGTCGTCATTCATTTATATGACCTTGACCTTGTACAGCGTACTCTTTACACCAAGAAACCAGATCAATGAAATTCTTCGTAAAGGGACAGTTGCCAGAAAATGTCTTTCTGTCGAAAAGGCAAATCAGCCGTATCTGGCACTTCCTTCAACAGATATAAATTTCAGTGTGCAGCACATATGCACAGGTTGTATGGCTCTACACGTTACCCTGCAGGTCATCAATACACATATATATGGCTCTACACTTTCCCCTACAGGCCACCAATACACACATATATGGCTCTACACTTTCTCCTGAAGGTCATCAATAAACACATATATGGCTCTACACTTTCCTCTGCAGGTCATCAATACTCATATATATGGCTCTACACTTTCCTTTGCAGGTCATCAATACACATATATATGGCTCTAAACTTCCCCTGCAGGTCATCAATACACATACATATGGCTCTCTACACTTTCCCCTGCAGGTCATCAATACATACATATAGCTCTACACTGTCCCCTGCAGGTCATCAATATACGCATATATGGCTCTACACTTTCCCCTGCAGGTCATCAATACACATATATATGGCTCTAAACTTCCCCTGCAGGTCATCAATATAAACATATATGACTCGACACTTTCCCCTATAGGTCATCAATACATATATATGGCTCTACACTTTCCCCTGCAGGTCATCAATATACGCATATATGGCTCTACACTTTCCCCTGCAGGTCATCAATGTACACATATTTATGGCTCTACACTTTCTGCTGCAGGTCATTAATACACATATAAATGGCTCAAAAGTTTCCCCTGCAGGTCATCAATACACATATATATGGCTCTACACTTTCCCCTGCAGGCCACCAATACACACATATATGGCTCTATACTCTCTCCTGAAGGTCATCAATACACACATATATGGCTCTACACTTTCCCCTCCAGATCATCAATACAAATATACATGGCTCGACACTTTCCCCTGCAGGCCACTAATACACACATATATGGCTCTACACTTTCTCCTGAAGGTCATCAATACACACATATATGGCTCTACACTTTCCCTTAAGGTCATCAATACTCATATATATGGCTCCACACTTTCCCTTGCAGGTCATCAATACAAATATACATGGCTCTACACTTTCCCCTGCAGGTCATCAATACACACATATACACTACATGGCTCTACACTTTCCCTTCCCTCTACACTTTCCCCTGCAGGTCATCAATACAAATATATATGGCTCTACACTTTCCCCTGCAGGTCATCAATACACATATATGGCTCTACACTTTACCCTGCAGGTCATCAATACAAATATACATGGCTCTACACTTTCCCCTGCAGGTCATCAATACACACATATATGGCTCTACACTTTCCCCTGCAGGTCATCAATACACACATATATGGCTCTACACTTTCCCCTGCAGGTCATCAATGTACACATATATGGCTCTACACTTTCCCTGCAGGTCATCAATACACATATATATGGCTCTACACTTTCCCCTGCAGGTCATCAATACACATATATATGGCTCTACACTTTCCCCTGCAGGTCATCAATACACACATATATATGGCTCTACACTTTCCCCTGAAGGTCATCAATACACACATATATGGCTCTACACTTTCCCCTGCAGGTCATCAATACACATATATACACACTTTCCTCCTGCCATATATATGGCTCTACACTTTCCCTGCAGGTCATCAATACACACATATATGGCTCTACACTTTCCCCTATAGGTCATCAATACACATATATATGGCTCTACACTTTCCTCTCCAGGCATCAATACACTCTACACTTTCCCCTGCAGGTCATCAATACACATATATGGCTCTACACTTTACCCTGCAGGTCATCAATACAAATATACATGGCTCTACACTTTCCCCTGCAGGCCACCAATATACACATATATGGCTCTACACTTTCCCCTGCAGGTCATCAATATACGCATATATGGCTCTACACTTTCCCCTGAAGTTCATCAATGTACACATATATATGGCTCTACACTTTCCCCTGAAGGTCATCAATACACACATATATGGCTCTACAGTTTCCCCTGCAGGTCATCTATACACATATATATGGCTCTAAACTTCCCCTGCAGGTCATCAATATACGCATATATGGCTCTCCACTTTCCCCTATAGGTCATCAATACACATAGGTCATACACTTTCCCATATACGGCTCTACACTTTCCCCTGCAGGTCATCAATACACATATATATGGCTCTACACTTTCCCCTGCAGGTCATCAATACACATATATATGGCTCTACACTTTCCCCTGCAGGTCATCAATATACACATATATGGCTCTACACTTTCCCCTGCAGGTCATCAATATACGCATATATGGCTCTACACTTTCCCCTGAAGTTCATCAATGTACACATATATATGGCTCTACACTTTCCCCTGAAGGTCATCAATACACACATATATGGCTCTACACTTTCCCCTGCAGGTCATCAATACACATATATATGGCTCTACACTTTCCCCTGCAGGTCATCAATACACATATATATGGCTCTAAACTTTCCCCTGCAGGTCATCAATACACACATATATGGCTCTACACTTTCCCCTACAGGTCATCAATACACATATATATGGTCATTTCCCCTACAGGTCATCAATACACATATATATGGCTCTACACTTCCCCTGCAGGTCATCAATATACGCATATATGGCTCTACACTTTCCCCTGCAGGTCATCAATATACACATATATGGCTCTACACTTTCCCCTGAAGTTCATCACTGTACACATATTTATGGCTTTACACTTTCCTCTGCAGGTCATCAATACACATATATATGGCTCTACACTTTCCCCTGCAGGTCATCAATACACACAAATTGGGCTTTACAATTTCCCCTACAGGTCATCAATACACATATATATGGCTCTACACTTTCCTCTGCAGGTCATCAATACACATATATATGGCTCTACACTTTCCCCTGCAGGTCATCAATACACACAAATTGGGCTTTACAATTTCCCCTACAGGTCATCAATACACATATATATGGCTCTACACTTTCCCTTGCAGGTCATCAATACACATATATGTGGCTCTACACTTTCCTCTGCAGGTCATCAATACACATATATATGGCTCTACACTTTCCCTTGCAGGTCATTAATACACATATATATGGCTCTACACTTTCCTCTACAGGTCATCAATACACATATATATGGCTCTACATTTTGCCCTACAGGTCATCAATACACATATATATGGCTCTACACTTTCCCTTGCAGGTCATCAATACACATATATATGGCTCTACACTTTCTGCTACAGGTCATCAATACACATCTATATGGCTCTACACTTTCCCCTGCAGGTCATCAATACGCACATATGTGGCTCTACACTTTCTCCTACAGGTCATCAGTACACATATATGTGGCTCTACACTTTCCCCTACAGGTCATCAATACACATATATATGGCTCTACACTTTCCCTTGCAGGTCATCAATACACATATATGTGGCTCTACACTTTCCCCTGCAGGACATCAATACACATATATGTGGCTCTACACTTTCTCCTTCAGGTCATCAATACACATATATGTGGCTCTACACTTTCCCCTACAGGTCATCAATACACATATATATGGCTCTACGCTTTCCCTTGCAGGTCGTCAATACACATATATATGGCTCTACACTTTGCCCTACAGGTCATCATTACACATATATGTGGCTCTACACTTTCCCCTACAGGTCATCAATACACACAGATATTGCTCTACACTTTCCCTTGCAGGTCATCAATACACATATATATGGCTCTACACTTTCCCCTGCAGGTCATCAGTGCATGTATATATGGCTCTATACGTTATACGTTCTTCAGTCAACCCCCAACGTTTCCAACTTTGTTGACCCCCTCTATTTGGTTCGAAAATTCCTATGTATAAAAATATAACATAAAGTGACGACTGCATAAGGATGGCTGAGTAGAAATGTTCCTTCTGATCTGTTTACTAATGCCCGTCTGTTAGGTGTTACTGCGACTGTCACTAATTTTCCTGGCGCTCTGTGAAAATGGAATTTGCCGACCAGAAAGCTATGGCTGGGGTATGTTGACATGCCCTGAACCCGGCCACATATTGGGACAATCAGGACGCCGGCGTCTGCATGCAGTGTTTGGACTTACCCTTCAATCGTCAAATGTTCATCTGCAGCTTGCATATATACACGTCATAAGAACGCAATTACGAAAAAAATGTGAACTGCCCGGTCCCAGGAAAGGTGTGGCTTGGAGGAAATGCATGCGTGTCAAGACTTTCGTTTACTGTGTAGGGAATTGTCGATTGTTATAAAGAGTGTGTGAACTATTAACTGAATAACAGCCAGAAGTAAGATAAAATCTAGGTAATGGGTTTGACACTGGTATGGTAACATGGACGTGTTATATAAACAAGTCATCTGTCAGTACCATGTTGGTAGGGTCACTATTTGCCATCATATCTACTTTCACTTCTACCCTTCTAGGAAACTCGTACCGACTCACTAGTAGGGGCGTACGTGGGAAGGTGGAAACAGTCATATAGTCAGAACTGTGTTATATACTCTGCCTCTGATTTTGTATTTCTGAGAACCAGTGCACAGACCAAGGACACCAGGGGCTGCAGGAGGGGGTGGGGGGATAGGAGGTGAGCAGGATCCTCCCCTGGAAAGCCTGACAAAGACTTACGATATGGTGAAACATTGCCCCAAGTTGACACAGATTGTCAGTGTGTCTTGGAAATAGCCACTCCCGGATAATAATAATAATATAATATGGTATTCATAAAGCGCCTAATATCTACCGTAGAGTTGCTCAGTGGCATCCGACTGTAACTGTCATTATCAAGTCAGGGTCAGTCCACGTGGACCTTCGATTGTACTTACACAACTCACCCCTCCCATGATGATGCTATAGGCTAGCGTGACTGTAGCGTCCCAATGTAGGAAGAGTACAAATGACATGGTGAGGTGAGGTGAGGTGAAATTGGTGCTTGAGAATATTTCGCTCATATGACGACGTGCATGCGTGTGTATGTGTATGTGCGGCGGATTGTACTAGCCCAGACTGAAGCTGGTGTTATAGTGCTAGCCCACTGAGATACCATGCCACAATGAATCATGAATACCCCACTCAGACAC